TTAGTATTTGTAGGCCGCCCTTTTCCCTGAGGGGACTCAGGGCGGCTCACATAAAATCGGGGAAGGGGAATACAGACGTTAAGATATAAACACAAGGAAGTCCACAAGAATGGATCCTAATCAATCCTGCATATTAGCTTGGAGGAATTCTAGCCCATTCCACCATCCAGGCCTTCCGCACAGCCCTTAAGAACTGGCTCGCCCGTCAGGCCTGGGGACAAGGATAGTTACCCCTCCCGAATGATGAATGCATGTTGTTTACTATTTTATTATATGTCTCTATCTTAACGTCTGTATTCCCCTTCCCCGATTTTATGTGAGCCGCCCTGAGTCCCCTCAGGGAAAAGGGCGGCCTACAAATACTAATAAAATCTACAAAAAAAATCTACAAATCTAAACTATGGAAATAAAAAGATGCTGCATAGAAAACTGCTATAGGATGAATTTCTCATGGAAAAAAAAAGAATGACCCTAAGCTCTGAGGATTAGTCTTCCAATTCCCAAATATTCTCATTGTTAAATTTTATTATCCAATTTGGGGCTAGAATGGAACCCCTGAGAATCCAAACTATATTTTTCAGTTTTAATTAGAACATACTTTTTTAATGCTGTTATAACTTTGAACGATCATTAAATGAACTGCTGTAAGTCGAGGACTACCTGTATATGTATGTATAATATGTCTCTGTCTCTGTATGTATGTGTATATGTATGTATGTGTATATGTATATGTGCATGTATGTATGTATGTGTATATGTATATGTGCATGTATGTATGTATGATCCATGTATATGAGTGATTCAGATTTACATCAATAATCTGAACCAAAAAAGTATATCAATATTTTCCCAATTGTGAGACAACATATTTATCAATAGATTGCAAAAGGAAATTCTTCTTTGTGAGACATTTCTTTACTTCAGCAAGCAAAATATTATTACAGGATCAGTAAATTTAGTCCCTCCTTTCCTGTATTCTCTACTAGATATATATTTCAATATATAGATTTATATTTTGAATCAGAGATATAAACACATTAAAGGGAAGGAAAATAGGAAAAGAATCAACCTACAAATAAACTGTTAAATGTTTTAATTGCCATAACAATTGTAAATACATAGCAAATAATGACTGGAAAGAAGCAAACGAGAAATTCTTACCTGAACGAAGGCAACTGTAACAACAATAAGTATTGCCTGTATGAAAGATGATAAATGCTACTTATAATATATATTTTAGCATCTAAGTAAATATGCACATTACTGTATTTTTCCAAGTATGACGCACCTTTTCCCCTTTAAAAAAAGGCTGAAAATCTGGCTGTGTCTTATACACTGAATACAGAATTTTTTGCCTCCTGAAACCCCATCCCTTCACCAAAATGGCTGTGCATACCCTTTAGGAAGCTTTTAGAGCTCCTGAGGGTTGGGGAATGCAGAAATGAGCAAAAATGGCCCATTTTTTGCTCAATTTTACCCCCTCCCAACCCCCAGGAGCACTCTATAAGCTTCCTAAAGGATATACATGCCCTTTTTTTAATGAAAAACAGGCTGTTTTTTGCTCGCTTTTGCCCCACCCCCTACCCCAGTCTCCCTAAAGGCTATTCATGGCTTTTGGGGGGAGGGAAACGGGTCCATTTTTGCGAAAAACAGGCCGTTTGGGGGAGGTTTGCAGAGTGCAAAAAACATTTTTTTTAAATTTTCCTCTTCAAAACCTTGCTGTGTCTTATATTCCAGTGTGTCTTATACTCCAAAAAGCATGGTAAATACTATCCAGAAGATATTAGAAACCAAATTTAAAAAGCAGGCAACTTCAGTTACAATTTCAGTTAGTATCCCATTATTACTGAATCAAGTGAAAAAATTAATTATATTGTCATTATGTAAAAGAACAAAAAACGTAATGAATTAATTCTGGGATCTTTTAGATTACATCATCATTCACATGATATATTTTTTTGGTTAAGTCTCTTAGACTTATCACCATTTCAGATATATTTGAGTTTTCTCCAATATGTCTAATAGTATTTCTACACAAAAGACAAAGTTGGGGACATGTCATTAATGGATGTATACTTTGAAAACCAAAAACATTTTCCATGATTTTATTGTTTGCCAATATCCGGACGAAGATTTGTTTTCTTATCTAGTATCATTCAAAGGGGGGGGGGGGGAATGAAAAACATGCAAATTTTCTCCTTTTATACCACCTATTTCTTAAACTTACATGCTGTAATTTAGTAAGATTTGAATTCCAAACATTGCTACTATGCAAAACAATCATACATGAAGCATTCCATGATGATTCCTGATAATCTGTTGAGACTGAAAACTCTTGGTCCAGGCATAGGCAGAAGTATTAAGGGAGAGGCAAAATAAATAAAAGTTGGTATCTACTCATGCCAACTAAGAGAAGGAAGGGAAATGAAGGTTATAAGAAGACGAGAAAGGCTGTTTGGATAGCTCTGCCAATCTCCTTAGCTTTAGTTATATCATAACAAATTCTCTTTAGGCTTCTTTTTTAATCTTTCCTTACTTGCTGCTAAAATCTTTGGGTAGGCAGAAAAAGAAAAGTTCTGAGAAAAGTGGAAGGTGGGGTAAACACATAAATTGGAAACTACATATATGAAGCCATGGTAAGGAAGGCAGAAGGCAGGACTGGAAATATTTGACCCCAATGGGCCAGTTCAATATGCTGCACTTATAAAGACATCAGCAACAGTGGCTAATGGAAAATAGTGTACAGATAGTCCTCAAGTTGAGAATGTAATGGAGGCTATAGGGGACTCGAGGATAGCTTCGGTGATGAAAAAGAAGGCTTCCGGCTGCCTTTCTTGCTGTCAAAGTGCTTGTGAATTGTGTCCCTGTAGGCTTCAGCAGCCCTTTACAAAAAGCCTTTGCCAGTAGAAACAGATCTTTGGAGGGAGTCTCTGTTCCTACTAGCAAAGGCTTTTTGCAAAGTGCTGCCAAAGCCTACAGGGACACAATCTTCCTGCAGGCTTCAGCAAGGAAACTGCAAACAGAGGGAAGGCGTGAAGGACCAAAGCCTTTCCTCCGTTTGCAAATGTCCAGGCCTCATTTCTCAGAGGTCACATGAGATCAATAGCACATAGTCTCGTGCTACTGATCTCGTGATACATTACACCTCTGTTCTGTATGAATGCACCTAAAACCTGAAGCAATGAAGTAGGCAAAGAAACCACGATAAAGAGATCTTCGCAACTTGAGTCTCCACAGGCAGAAAGCCTGTGAAGACTTGGCAGGGGAAGTGAATAGGCAGGGTGAATGTTGCAGAGCCATTGCGGTCATTCATAAGGGCAAACAATTGCCATGATGCTACAATATTTGTAATTTCGGGACTTGTTCGTAAATGCTAGGAGGTGCTTATTACGTAACTCTGAACATTCTCTAAGGGAACACTCCGGGGATTACCTGTCTGCCAAAATGCAGCAGGCAATCAGGCTAATACAGTCAATGCAGAAGAGAAGGGGAAATATAGCTAAAATACATAAGCCTTGCCTACCCCATAAGTTCTAGAATTGATTTAAATGATATTCAAATATTATTTCCATTTTAACAGGTGTGTAAGTTTACAGTATCTTAGTATCTTAGAGAATCAGTTAAATTTTTTGGAAAAAAAGTAAGAGAACAAGAACAACATGACCAACAATATGAACTACTGTATAGCTCCATACAATCAATATATCACTGATCAAAGGAAGAATATAGTTACATGAGAAGAAATGTAGATGCACAGAGAATTGTATCTCTTTAATTTTCAAGACCTTACAATGGGAACAATATACAAATATTTTTAATATATTTAAGTAATAGTCAATGATTTGGAATTTTTTTTTGCCATGTATACAATCCAAAAGCTTACAGAGAAAGGCATCCTTAAAATTTCAGATGTACTGTACAATCTTAATATATATATGGTGTTTAATTGCAGAAAAAACTGAGCAGATGCCATTTCTTAAAACTAGTTAAAATGCATGTTTCAGTAAAACATATTATGTGGACAAAGCAATTTGAGATGGCAAGCAATGCAAAGCAATTCTATTTGATCTAAAGCAAATAACTTTAAAAAAAAAGCTGAGAATATCTAAATACATACATATAGAGGGCTGCGTTTATTTAAGCATGGACCTGAAACGGTGGCCATCTAGATGTTAGTAGAACTACATTTCTCATTATTTATAACCATTGGCCATGATGGATAGTGTTTATCATAAGCTCTATACCCTTCATTTAAATGCAAAATGACAATCTTACCACAGTGATACTGACGGCATCATCAAATTGATGCATTATAACACTGATGACTGCAGAAGCCAGGAGAAGCATAATCAGAGGATTTTTAAACTACAGAGAAAAGGGAGGAAAAAAGACAGAAATATCTTGGAATAATAAAGAAAATTCCTTTACCTATTACATTAAAAATAATGATAGCTTTATGGGAACAACATACCAGAAAATAAGTCCCAAGTCATAATGCCTCAAAAGATGAGGCCTTAAGCGATATTATTAAAAAATGTTACTGTGCTAGATTTTAATATGTTTTATTATTCAAATGTAATTAATACATCTCTAAATAAAATATTTAAAGAAAAGTTTTATGCAAATAGTCATTAACTTACAAGAGTTCATTTAGTGATTGCTCAAAGTTACAATGGCATTGAAATGGTGACTAATGAGAGTTTTTTACACATAAGACAGTTACAGCATCCCCATGGTTACATAATCAAAATTCAGACGCTTGCCAAAAAATTCATATTTATGACAGTTGCAGTGTTCCGGGATCATGTGATCACCTTTTGCGACTTGTAACAAGTAAAGTCAATTCAATTAATAATCATGTTACTAACTTAACAACTGCAGTGATTCATTCAACAACTGTGGCAAGAAAGGTCGTAAAATGGGGCAACATTCACTTAACAAATGTCTCTCCTAGCAACAAAAAATTTGGACTCAATTGTATTCATAAGTCAATGACAATTTGTATGCATTTTTATTATTAATCAGAATTTCATTTACAAATATAATCATCACAAATATTGTGTAAATATTTATTTAAATAAGGTTTGAAAGAAGAGGAGAAGAAAAATCCAAAGAGTTCAATCCTAAAGTGATCTGAGTAGTGGGTGGAAACTATCTTGGAAGATTAACTCAGCTGGAATACATTTCTCTACTTACCATCATCATACCACCACATCATAAGCTGATTTTGATCCCATTTTTTCTTAGTTTGCATGAAGGTAGTTCATTTGGGTACTTAAAATAATAAAAGTGTTCTTGGAAAAGATTCTTACCTGAGAAATATATTTTTTCCATAGTGGTTCATCTTCAGTAATATCAAATTCATTCCAACCATGAAAGGCCCTTCTATGGCAAACTTCACAATTTTTCAAGCCATTCTGAATATCAGCCTTTGAAACATATAGAGATATGTATTTTAAGAGATGTATTCAATCTAAACATTCATGTGAATGTATTCTTTCTGTACAATCAAATAGTAAAATCCCATAAATCCATACTGTGTGAATATTATACCTGGGTAAAAGCCTTTTATCTAATATTGTTTCATAATTGTGAACTTTAAGAATCAGAATGATACAGTAGAAGTTCTATTATTAAAAACAATGAAGATTTATTCCGGAATTGCTGGGTTTTTACTAACAAAAATATTTAATGTTCACTTTCTTCTACTAGACTGGATTTCAGCAACCCGCTGCTCTGGACCCACATGTGGCTCTTTGACCCCTATCCTGTGGCACCCTGCTGACTCGGTCGTGCAATCTGCAACCTGCTCTCCGCTCAGAGATACTGGCCCAATACCTCACTAACATGAAGCCTGGCAGGTGGGAATGGGATCCAGGAAGAGGATACGACGGAAAGGGGGACAGGCTCGCAGCTGAGAAGAGAGAAGAGTCGCGGTGGCAGCTTCCCTGAAGATGACCCTCTTACTTCTTCTCCTCAAGTGACCCACTGGCTGGCTATTGCAGGATCAGAAGGGCGCACATGAGTGGGACTACCCTCCTGAAGTTAGTGGCTGGGGTTGGCCAAAACGCAGCGAAGGTGCATGGAGCAGTGGATTGACCGGCTGACAGGCGAGGATCTTTGACGAGGGCATCCGGCTTTCTCCAAGCCTGATCTCCGGGGGGGGGTGAGGTTTGGGGGGACCAGCTCCCTTTTCCCACTCCCCTGAGCTTCTTTATTCCTCCAGCTGAGCGGTGCTGGCAATGGCATTGATTGAAAAGCATCCTCCAGACAGCAAAAATCCCCTATAAAGCCACTCAGAGGATGCTCCACTCACTTGCAGAGGGTATTCCTGCTCGTACGAGAGAAAGAGAGGGAGGGAGGAGGAAGAATAAGAGAGAAATGATAAATGATGGAAGGAGAGAATGAGAGAGAGGAAAGAGAAACAAATGAGAGAAGGGGGAGAGGGAAATGAGAGAGAGCAACGGCCACGCATGCCAAAAGACGCGAAGAAGGGTTCCTGGCCATCACTTCTTAGCAGAGTAGAGCTGTGGTTGGGGCTTCCCTCCCTCCCTACCTGAGTGGGTTTCTTGCATGGCACCAGTCCTCCAGCCTATGGCTCATCTGCAGTCCGAAGTACCTGGCTGGCTCGGGCGCCCCAGAAAAGCAGCGGCAGTGGCAGCCACAAGGGGAAGGGCAGGAGCGTCCGGCCGGCCCCTGCAGCCACTCCCATACCAACCAGAAGTGACACTATGACAGCCGCCGGGGGCGAGGGGCAGCAGCGGCAACGACGGGCTTTCCTCCCTCCCCACCGGAGCAAGCTATTTGCACAGCTCCAGCCCGCGGCTCTAATGAGGATCTACTATCTGGAGTGCCTGGCTGGCTCGGGTGCCCCAGAAGAGCAGCAGCTGCAGCCACAGGGGGAAGGGCAGAAGCAACCGGGCAGTCACTGCAGCTGTTCCCAAGTCAGAGAGCCAGGCCCTCGGTGGCGTCTTTATAAGGGTAGCTCACCTCCTTGCCAGCAGTTCCTCCAGTGTTTCGGCTGGAAGCAGCAGCGCAACAGTCAACATTACCAGGGGCGAAGGGGTGGTGGTGGTGGCGAGAACGGACAACCACCACCCCTTCGTCCCTTCCCCAACAGTGGCTGTTGCACTTCTGCTTCCAGCCGGGATGCTGGTGAAGGAGCTGCTGACGGGGAGGCGAGCTGCCCACATAAAGACACCGCCGAGGACCTGGCAGAATATATCCTGGCTGGAAGTGGCAGCGTGCCGGACTGCGGATCCTCATCAGAGCCATAGGCTGGAGCTGTGCAAGAAGCCTGCACAAGCGGGGGGGGGGGGAGGGAAGCTTGGGCCCACCATCCTCACCATCGCCACCCCTTCGCCCCTGGTAGCGGTGGCTATTGCGCTGCTGCTTCCAGCCGGGATATATTCTGCCAGGCCCTTGGTGGCATCTCGGTACAAGGGGCGAAGGGGTGGCAGTGGCGAGGATAGGTGGTCCCAGGCTTCCCTCCCTCCCCCCGCCCAAGCAGGCTTCTTGCACAGCTCCAGTCTGTGGCTCTGATGAGGAGCCACAGTCCAGAGCGCTGCCGCTTCCAGCGGGATATATTCTGCCAGGCCCTCGGTGGCGTCTTTATGCGGGTAGCTCGCCTCCCCGCCAGCAGCTCCTCCACCAGCATCCCAGCTGGAAGTGGAAACGCAACAGCCGCTATTGGGGAAGGGACGAAGGGGTGGCGGTCGCCCGTTCTCGCCACTGCCACCCCTTCATCCCTGGTAAGAGATGAAGAAAGAGCCTTGGAAAGAGCCAAGGTGGCGCAGTGGTTAAATGCAGCACTGCAGGCTACTGCTAGATCAGCAGGTCAGCGGTTCAAATCTCACCGGCTCAGGGTTGACTCAGCCTTCCATCCTTCCGAGGTGGGTAAAATGAGGACCCAGATTGTTGGGGGCAATATGCTGACTCTCTGTAAACCGCTTAGAGAGGCCTGAAAGGCCTATGAAGCGGTATATAAGTCTACTGCTATTGCTATTGCTATTGGTAAGAGTAACTGTTGCACTGCTGCTTCCAGCTGGGAGGCTGGAGGGGCTGCTGGCGTGGAGGTGAGCTACCTGCATAAAGATGCTGCTGAGAGCCTGGCAGAATATATCCCGGCTGGAAGCAGCAGCGCTCCGGACTGCAGATCCTCATCAGAGCCGCGGGCTGGAGCCATGCAAATAGCCCATTTGGGTGAGGGAGGGAGGGAAGCCCTTGCCCGTCCTTGCCATTACCGCCCCTTCGCCCTCAGCAACTGTCAGTGCTGCTTCTGGCTGGGATGCTGGAGCAGCCAGAAGGAGAAGCCTCCAGGTGAGGTGGGTGGGGCAGGCACCGATTGCAAATGCTTCTGGTGCATCTGATGGAACAGGCAGAATGGCTACTGGGACCTGAGGCAGAGCGGCATAGACATAGGCAACACACCCGGCAGTGGCAGTGGCGGCAACAGCATTGTAGGGGCGAGGATAATGCCCAGGGGTTGCCCCATAACCCAGGTCAGGAACATGGAGCCAGGAAATGGGTCTCCCAGGGCATCAGCTGGCCAAAGTGCACGCCTTCGCAGGCCGCAATAGAGACAAAGTTTGTGTGCTAGCCGGGGTGATCGCGAGGCTTGGGGCCCAGCACCGGCCAGCTCAACCATCCCACCAAGAGAAGCGCTTTCCTCTGTTGCCTCCGAAGGCAACAGGGCGTGGCAGGCGAGGCTGCAGTGGATGTAAGTGGAAGGTGCTGGGTCCATTCCTTCCATAACGGCCGTTATATTCCTCCCTGGGCTCCATCTCCTGGGCAGGCAGAGCAAGAGCCCAGGGCTAAGCCCATCGGCCACAACCTCTATTTCCAAGAGCAGCCTGTTCAGTCGCCCCCAGTGCAGTCCAAGAGACAGCAAAGAGCCTCAGGAGGGTGGGGAAGCTGTTTTTCCCCTCCCTAAGCTCCTTAAAAGCCTCTGGAGCCTGGGGAGGGCGAAAAACAGGGCTATCAGGGGCCAAAAGGGGAGGGGATTGCGTGCACATATGCAGGGTGTGCACACGCACACATGCGCAAGGGGGTCATGTGCATAGCATTATGGGTATGGCAAACCCACGTACGGCCCCCTTGCGCTCCTCCCGCTTTTGGCACAGGAGCCCAAAAAGTTTCGCCATTGCTGGCATAGGGCAATTGTTGGCAGAAATTCCAAAAAGAAAAGGTTAAACAAGGGAGCATTTTAGAATTTCTATCTCATCACTATATAGATTCATTCAATGGTGGGATTCAAAAATTTTTACTACTGGTTCTGTGGGCATGGCTTGGTGAGCATACTGTAAAATTTGGGGAAGGGTACTGCAAAATCCCCATTTCCTCCCAATCAGCTGGGACTCAGGAGGCGGATAATAGATGAGGGCAAGGCCAGTCAGAGGTTGTATTTACCAGTTCTCCGAAACTCAAAATTTGCGCTACCAGTTCTCCAGAATGATCAGAATTTGCTGAATACCACCTTTGGGTTCATTCATGTACAAGTCATGTTAAACATTTGGCTCTATGTATCGAAAGAAGTATAGCTGACATCACTCAATTCTTCTATACACATGAAAGCCATTAAGTCCTGACTTTCCTACAGATATCTGAGAAAGGAGAGTTATTTCAATTATTTTATGGAACACATATGAGCTAAATTCAATCTAATCTAAAGCAATTCAGTCTATTGTGATGCTAGGAATTGGTTTCTTTTCAATGCATGGTTAAGTTTATTTGGATTATTACTGAGAAGGAAAAAAGCATATATTTTACTTTCTTTCCTATAAAAAATGCCTTGGCACACAAAACTGGCTCCAAAGTCTGGGTACCTTTCAAAGTAAACCAAAAGCACCTGGAAGGACAGAAGAATGGAAAATAGGTTCTTTGTGGTTCCATTACAGCATCTTTGTAAATCATCATTATCTTCTTTTAAAAACCCATAATCTCTTGCAGGATGGAGTCTGGGCAACTGAATGGAGCTAGCAAAGCGTTTAATGGCCAGATGCCCTTCTTGTCGCCAAAGCACCTCTGTGAATGGCACTGTATTATTGGTTTTCTTTTTTCTTTTTTGTCATTTAAACATAATTTTATTGTGCAAAGTTCCAAGATCTTCCAAAGAAAGTACTTGGTGCTCTCCTAGCTTGGTGATTTTCTTGAAGATGTTTCATTACCAAACTAGGTAACATAATTAGCGCTAGAAGGGAGTGGAGTTTGCTCTTATTTTTATATACTAGTAACTTACCCAGTCAGTGTTGATGATTCACTTTCCAAAGTAAATCAGAAAATGTGCCCATTTAGCAAATAAAATTCATTGATTCTATTCTGATTTTAATAATACTTGAATAAACAGTGTAGTTCAGTGCTGAGTGGGGAATTCTGGAAGTTGAAGTCCATACATTTGAAACTAGTCAAAGTTGAGAAATGCTGGTCTAGATTATTACATTAACAATACAAATAATAGATTAAATTGTGATTAGTATGTTTAAAAATGGTAGATGAGCATGTTTGTTTAAAGCAGGTCTAGGACAACTCATCAAGGCTGACTCACCCCAGCTGACCTGCCATGGGACAACTCAACATGGAATAACTCAAAAGAGGTAGAATTGAATTGCATCGGGCCTTTAAGTTTGAACCTTCTCAATTTAGAAGTCCTCAAGGCTGGATGCACATTCATTTGTCCCTCTCTTGAGTTATCCCTCATTGATTTCTTTTATGGTGAGTTGCCCTGTGGCGAGACGGCCATGGCAACATGGCTGTGGCAAGTCAATGGCAGCAAATTATCCCATTTCTTAAAGCAGTCCTTCCCATTCCTAGATGCAACCAACAGTCCAAAGTAACTGAATAGGAGTTATAGTATCAAACATCTGTATCTAACAAGACTAAAACCATTTATAAAAACTCAAAATGGATCTGCTTTATCTATGTTTAAAGTTTAATCTAAATGTAGAAATCAGTATTTACCCATCAACTATAAAGAGGTAGTTTTCATCAATTTTTAGCAAACCAAGGCATTATTTGAACATCATAAAGAAATAGAAATAACTAGCAAATTATCAACTGATCAGACATGTGAAGTTAACAAACACTCAAGGATATTAAGAAAATGTTCTTATATATTCAAGTTATTATTTACCTGAAGAATGCTTGCCACTTCATTGACTGCTAATTCACTTGCTTTTTTGGAAGTTAGAACAGGAATCATTATTTCATTTTCATCCTTAGGCAGCTGTTGAAAATGTGCAACCTAAAAAACAAGGAGCTATCTATATCACCAGATACCATAGTTCAGCTGCTCCAGTAAGTTACAAAAAATAATATCTAGCAAAACATATCTCTCTTTAACAAGCTTCCACCCATTACTTCTTGTACTGCTCTCAAATACTCTGGAGAATAGGTTAATCTCTTCTTCTTTGTGACAGCTCTGCAAGTATTAGAAGACAACTATCATGTCACCCCCTAATCCTTCTCTTCAATAGGCAAGGCATACCTAGCTCCCATAATCATTCATCATACAATTTGGCCTCCAAAGCCTTTATCATGCATTATTACCTTTTCAAAAATGGATTGGACAACCATGTTGCAAGGCTCCTTCCTATCTAGGGCAAGGAGTTAGACTAGAGTCCTTTCCAACCCTATTATTCTATTATCTATGACAACATGGGAAAAATTGTTTACCAGGAGATAATTAATGGATCTTCTTGGAGATAAATTTAAGCCCTTTTGAATTGGTTAACTGGATAAATCCACTGATTTGGGGGGGGATTTTGTTATGCCTACTATGGCATGCAGCCTTTAAGAAATAACCAGAACAATCATAAAATTGCAATTATAAGAAGACAACCACAACCTAAAGACCTCACTTAAATGTGCATAAAAGATTAGGTCATCACAGACTGCTGACATAAAATTACTAAGTCATGGCTTTATTTTAACATTGATTGAACTGTGGCTTTGAACACAAATCCTCACTGAAATCTCCCTCTTTAAATTAAAGTCACAAGAATAAAAAATATTTCTCAGCCCATTTTGTATGGTGCTAAGTAAGAAAAATTATAATTTCTCTAAAGAAAATATGGCACTTGAATATGCAGGTTTTTTTATTCCAAAATGTAAGATAACATGAAAATATCTTTGAGTAGTACATTTCTAGGCTTCTAATAATTAGCACATTATTTTAATTGTACAGGTCAGTAAAGATAAATGTAAAGGTTCCCTTTGCACATATGTGCTAGTCATTCCCAACTCTAGGGGGTGATGCTCATTCCGTTTCAAAGCTGAAAAACCAGTGTTGTCCGAAGAAGTCTCCGTGGTCATGTGGCCGGCATGACTAAACGGCGAAAGCGTACGAATACTGTTACCTTCCCACCAAAGTGATCTCTATTTTTCTACTTACATTTTTTACATGCTTTCAAACTGATAGGTTAGCAGAAGCTGGGCCATGTAACAGGAGCTCACTCCATTATGCGGCGCTAGGAATTCGAACTATCAAACTGCCAACCTTTCTGATCATCAAGCTCAGCGTCTTAGCCACTGATTCACCTTAGAATATAGATGGTAGTGAGCTGGAAATCTATCATCTTATCTCTTAACATGAGTTGATCTTATTTTTCATTATATTTTATTCCATCTACTATATCTGATTATTCTGAAACTCTTATAGTTTGTTTTGTAAAAAGTAAAGTTATTATGAGTGATAAATAATACAATAATGTAAATATTATTTCTATGCATCACTAGATAGATATAGATAGCAAATGGTTGAGAGTTAGATGATAGTAGATGCAAGTAGATAGTATACAGATAATAGTATATAGTGCCGTGATGGCGATCCTATGGCATGCGTGTCAGAAGTGGCAGACGGAGCCATGTCGCCTAAGACCCATTCCTCTTCCAGGTTTCTGGTGCGCATGCATGCACAACTATCAGCTGTCCTTTGTGCATGCAGCAGTGCCAGAAACTGGAACAGCTGGTCTTCCATTTCTGGAGTAAGCATGCGCGCCAGTTAATAGTCAAGCGCGCATGCATGCCAGTAACCGGGAGATTAGCTGGCCAGCCTGCATGCGCGTGCCAGAAACCAAAAATTCATTTTTTCAGTGCACCCATGCTCCCTGGGCAGCTCCTCTTCTGGGTTGCGGCCCAGAGGAACATGCACAGGTTCCCTTTTCGACACCAGTACTGAAAAGGTTCGCCATCACTGATATAGTGGGTAATAAATAGGTAGCAGCTGTCTATAAATAGGATAAATATAAACAGTTGATAATAGATAACAGATAATAGATGATCATAAATAGATAGTAGATAGTATATTTCTGCCAGCGAAAAAAGGCTCCCCAGCTTCATTTTTAGCTGCAATGGCCTTCTGCAACCCTCTGCAAGCAAAATCAGAGCTCTGGAGGGCCATGACATTTTCACTGGCAGAGGGACCACAGACCGGTCCTTCGTTGTTTCTGGGGCAGTCCTACGGGTCAGATCTAAGCACCCGTGAGCCGGATCCAGCCCCTATACCATTTCAGACTCATAGCTATCCAACATCATCTTAAAGAATTCCAGTGTTGGGGCATTCACAACTTCTGGAGGCAAGCTGTTCCATTGATTAATTGTTCTAACTGTCAGGAAATTTCTCCTCAGTTCTAAGTTGCTTCTCTCCTTAATTAGTTTCCAACCATTGCTTCTTGTTCTACCCTCAGATGCTATGAAGAATAGTTTGACTCCCTCTTCTTTGTTGCAACCCCTGAGTTATTGGAACACTGCTATCATGTCTCCCCTACTCCTTCTTTTCATTAAACTAGACATACCCAGTTCCTGAAAACGTTCCTCATATGTTTTAGCCTCCAGTCCCCTAATCATCTTTGTTGCTCTACTCTGCATTCTTTCTAGAGTCTCCACATCTTTTTAATGTCGTGACAACCAAAACTGAATGCAGTATTCCAAGTGTGGCCTTACCAAGGCATTGTAAACTGGTATTAACACTTCACATGATTTTGATTCTATCCCTCTGTTTATGCAGCCTAGAACTGTGTTGGCTTTTTTGGGAGCTGCTGCACACTACTGGCTCATATTTAAATGGTTGTCCACTAGCACTCCAAAATCCCTCTCACAGTTACTACTATTGAGCAAGATACCACCTATACTGTACCTATGCTTTTTGTTTTTCTTGCCTAAATGTAGAACCTTACTTTTTTCACCATTGAATTTCATTTAGTTAGATAGTTCCCAATGTTCACGTTTGTCAAGATCCTTCTGTATCTTAAGCCTATCTTCTGGAGTGTTGGCTATTCATTCCAGCTTGGTGTCACCTGCAAATTTTATGAGTTCCCCATTTATCCAAATCATTGATGAAGATGTTGAAGAGTACTGAGTCCCGCATTTATCCAAATCATTGATGAAGATGTTGAAGAGTACTGGGACTAAACAGAGCCTGGGGTACTCCACTGCATACCTCCCTCCATGTAGATGCAGTTCCACTGAGGACTACACGTTGAGTGCGGTTGGTCAGCCAGTTACAAATCCGTCTGGTGGTGATGCTGCCTAACCCACATTTTTCTACTTTGTCTAGTAGTAGGTTAGGGTCTACTTTATCAAATGCCTTGCTGAAGTCCAAGTAAACTATATCGATGGCATTCCTCTGGTCCACTAATTTTGTTACGTTGTCAAAAAATGCAATAAGATTAGTCTGGCATGATCAGTTTTTGATAAACCATGTTGGCTTTTGGCTATTACTTTGTTTATTGCTAAGTGTTCGCTAATTTGTTGCTTGATTATCTTTTCCAGAATCTTCCTTGGTATTGAGGTCAGGCTGATAGGTCTGTAGTTTCCTGGATCTTTTTTTCCCCTTTTTTGAAGATAGAAACCACATCAGCTTTTTTCTTGTTCTAGTTGCTTTATTTCCACACAAAAATACACTTTCTCTTACCAACACACACACACAGAGAGAATGTGAGAGGGCAGCTGTTAGCCTGCCTTTTAAAGCTCTCTCCCCAGCCAGGAGATCAGTGTTAATTATAAAAGCTGTGCTGAGACAGCTGAATGTAATGGTGTATGTGTATACCGGTATGTATGTATGTATGTATATACTTTTTTTTTTTTACAAATTTTCACTTGTGTTATAAGATACTTTGTGTAGCTCATGCATGTCCAGGCATGCACTCACAGCATATTACATAACACGGACTATTAAAACAGTTCACATGAACAAAGGCTACTCATTTTCTTGGTGTCAGTTCCCATACATTTTGATGTGATTGTTTGAAGGCAAACACTGTCTCTTTACAATTTACATAACAAGCCGATTATAGACTTATAGGATGATCAAGTAGTGACAGCATGAATGTCTCACCAAAGCCAAAACAGCCATGATATATTCTGCTACATTTGTGGTGAGTGCTGTACATACATAAGCCTCAAAGCCTTACCATTACTAGACTTGTTAAGAAAGTACAACTGTACTTTGGTTGTAAGATTGGTCTAAACCAGTGTTTCTCAATCTTGGCAACTTGAAGATGTCTGGACTTCAACTCCCAGAATTCCCCAGCCAGATGTCTGGACATCTTCAAGTTGCCAAGATTGAGAAACACTGGTCTAGACATTGAGGGCCAGATCAGCATTGTCATTGTCCTCCAAGGGCCAGGGGAAGAGGGGCATGGTCGGGTGGTCATGACTGACTGGGCATTGTCCGGTGATGGCCAGCTTCACGTAGGTAGTGCCTGTGGGGAATGGGCAGGGTTGAGGAGAGAATCCAGAATCTGGTGAGTGGAGGAGTAGCAGGAGGCTCGTCCCATAGAACGAGATGAAGCAAGGCAGCCAAAGCCGGAAACCGTCGGCCAGCATACACTCGCTGCCCCTTTGTGTGGAGGGATGATTTTCAGCTATAGCCACAGTCTGCCAGCCCCTCAGCTGGTCCACGATGCTGCTCTGGAGCTTATTGCCACCACTGGGCTGCCCACCAAAGCAGTAGGTTGAGGCAGTGGGAGGAACAAGATGTGGGTCGCTGGACGCACTTACTCCATCTCACTGTCTGTTTTGACTTGCAGTTGGAGAGCAGGTTGTTTTCAGCGGCCCACAGCTGTGCTGAGGTGCATCGGGTGCACCAGAGTGGTGCTTCGCCAGCAGCCCAAGATAAAGTCGGGGAGGCTGAGGCACTTCTCTGCCCACTAACAGATCCAACATGTGGTACCCATCCGGACTTCCCCAAAGTACAGTGGATGGTTGGTTAGGAAGCAGCAATAGCCAGAGGCAGAGGCGCAG